CTCTCTCTCTCCCCTTACCCCCCCCCCGAATCAGAAGACGGCACTAAAAAGTTGACTTTAATTATTACCTTTTAATTGATTCTATGGCTTTTCAATTGGTTTCTTAAGTCAAATATGCAAAATGAAATGAAATGCTGGTTTCACTTTTAGTTAGTTCGATAAACATTCATGTAGACTTTATATTTCCTCTCTTATCATTATTTTACAGTTTTTTTTAACAGTAATCAATAATTATCTTCATGATAACGGGATTGTTCTTTGTGGTTTATAATATTATCAGATACACATACAAATGTTTGAGCACCAGCATATTAAACTGATCCGGTGTACTCACTAGATATTCTGTGTGTTTGACCACAGATATATACATTATTATAAATAGCAACAGATATTGGTTAGCATATCTTTTTTCATCACTTTTTAAAACTTGCTGACCATAGTGGAGGAATAAAAACAATATTTATAAGTGATGATCACAAAAATTCAAAGCAATCATTTTTTCTTTAACATTCGACTTGTGGCCATGTGTCCTTATCTATGGTCCACATTTATTGTCACATCAAATAGTACTCGTAGCTTGCGATTCTGTGAACTTTGTCAAAATGCGTAGAATAAGTTGTCGAGTTTAAACAGAGTAATGTGCAACTTCGTCAAAAGGCGTAAAATAAGTTGTCAAGTTTAAACAGAGTAATGTGCAACTTCGTCAAAAGGCGTAAAATAAGTTGTCGAGTTTAAACAGAGTAATGTGCAACTTCGTCAAAAGGCGTAAAATAAGTTGTCAAGTTTAAACAGAGTAATGTGCAACTTTATCAAAAGGTGTAGAATAAGTTGTCAAGTTTAAACAGAGTAATGTGCAATTTCGTCAAAAGGCGTAGAATAAATTGTCAGGTTTAAACAGAGTAATGTGCAACTTCGTCAAAAGGGGTAGAATAAGTTGTCAGGTTTAAACAGAGTAATGTGCAACTTCGTCAAAAGGGATAGAATAAGTTGTCAGGTTTAAATAGAGTAACGTGCATATTCTGAAGCTTTATTAATTGTCATTTCTGGATATCTTTTATCAGCTACAATATCATCTATTACGGATATGATGATTAGTTATAATAATTTTTATACTATACTGCACATATATAGATTAAAAAACAAACTATAACAGTAATTATCTACTTTCAAAATAACAGGGAAGAAAATGGACAGTTTTCAAATGACGAAAACTGTCAACAGAACACTTACGATTACACTTTGAGATTCTGTAGAGTTTGTTTTCGAAGTCTCTTATCATAATGTTACACATACGTTTCTTTTCTTTCTCAGAATTGTCGTTGAAAACTACCCAAAGAAAAAGCTAGGTACATATAGCAGCCCTTATTTTTGAACTGATAGACTAGAAGAAAGACAACTAGTCAACAACCAACTCTTGATTTTCTCTTGTCTAACCGAATTATGAGATTAGACCGTCACTCCTATAACATACCCATAGCTTCGAGGTGCAGACCGTGTTTTTGAGACAACGGAAAACGAACCATGAATCCACGGATTACAGTCTAGACACGCAAACTAACCATTTGGTCACGTTCAGCCTCTATATTTTTATTTTCTACCTGTACAGTTTTTTCTATACACTACATTATAATTCATAGTAATGTCTATATGTCAACAATTACACTACATTATAATTCATAGTAATGTCTATATGTCAACAATTACACTACATTATAATTCATAGTAATGTCTATTTTTCAACAATTACACTACATTATAATTCATAGTAATGTCTATTTGTCAACAATTACACTACATTATAATTCATAGTAATGTCTATTTGTCAACAATTACACTACATTATAATTCATAGTAATGTCTATTTGTCAACAATTATTTATAATCTTCTTTCAGAATTTCTTTCAAAGAACTTTTTATGCTTAAAAATATTTCCAAATAATTGGTGTCTCCTTCCTTGTAACATGAAAACTCCATGCAATCATCCTTGAAATGTAAAAAGTATTTATAATAATTGGATATTGCTTGATTTCATATCTTATAGATACCCCCCCCCCCAATGATATTTTTCAAAATTATCTTGATTTTCCTTTTTCAAATGTTAATTGAGATTTTCTCTATAAGGTAGTGAAAGGTTTAGGCTCCAATTTCATGTACATCTTGTAGGAATATGGTTTTATTATTAACCGTGGTGTTTCTGTATCTCGTTATCTTATTTGTAAGCACGAGCTTTGTGTTACAGATACTTTATCGGCCTTAAACATATATGTAAACCTCACGCTTATATGTGAAATAAACAAAAATGTCATCGTCTTTGTTCAAACTCATTAACACAGTGTTTTCTAGCCTTTTAACTCCAAAGATGTTCTTAATTTGATAAAATAAAGTAATTATTAAATATCCTATCCTTATTTTAAAAGACGTGCATCAGATCATGAGATTCGATGACTTGACAAAGCATTTATCGTTCTTGTATGTGGTGGATACACCTACGTCCAATCCATTCTACAAAAGTTAAGCATGTGATGATTCCGCACACATCATCTCAAACACGTTTCAGTTTAATACCACCTTTAAAACAGTCATTAAAACAACTTAATGCT